TGTATGAGTACTCGAGGTCCCTGTGGTTTTTGGATGACTCCTACATGAGTTTCTGTAGATTGCCGAGACACTCATAGCACTGTGAGAAGTGGCAGTAGTCTTTGCGTTGGGTGCCATCCATGGGGCCAGAGACGAACATGGGGTATTGTTCGTGGTTTATGCATGGGACGATTATGGCGCCGGGCCCCTTTTCGACAGCGGGGTTGGTGGAGTCATGGGCATTCGTGGAAAGCTTCGCCAAAGTCCTTGATGTATAGTAGTCCTTTAGAATAATGGAGCTTTCGAAGAGAGGGGAGTGTTTTCATAATTTATGAACAAGAGAAATGTTACCCCCGTACCGTCCAGCCACCTTGAGAGGCGAAGGATTCTATTATTCAATACCGAATCCTCCACTTCTTAAGGCGGCGTGGATACAGTCCACAACAACGGATCCTTCCTGCATCCATTCTTCCTTGTGTTCCTCCATCCCGTGGAATAATACAAAAAAAACACGAGTTTGTGTAAACAGGCTACCGTCGAATCGTAGCATCTGCCATTGCTCACCAGTTGTCACAAAGGCATAAACCACCCCCCCCGTTCATTTCGCCCATGTCCTTCATCGCAAGAAGACATTGTTTTTTTGCTTCCCCTAGGGACGATCTTTTGGCCTCAATCAGGAACACAAATTTCCGATTGCTAATGCTAACCATATCCATCATCACAAACTCTTGGTTCCCACCCGATTCTCGGTCTGTGCCTATTATTGCTTTTTCCCTCCGCAAGCGTAGATTTCGTCCAATCCCTCTTCTAAAAATTGTAATCGTTGGGATGAGGATTGTGAATACCAAGTCATTAACATTCGCTTCTTTATAGTCTTCGTTCGTCTCGCTTGGATATCCTTCTCCTTCCAAATACTCCACAATCCGTTCGTACACTTTCTCTTTTGTTTCTTGGGTCTTTTCTTCCGTGAGGCTTTTGATTTTGGCTTCTTGGTCGGCAGTGGCTAGCATCTGCCTGACTGGGACCGCATGCTCATCGAAGGTTTCAAGGAAAAACCTAATCGCTCCTCCGCTTGTTTGTGTGAAAACTTTGAGTATGAGATCTTGCGCCCCGGGCGTTCTGGTAGCTGACTCTGCAAAACATTATCGCCATTAGAATTGTTTGCAGGTCATTAAGAGTTCAAGCTCACCGGTCTAGGAGTGAGAATTTTAGCTGCCGCCGCATGAACCCGTAGGTACCTGCAGTGGGCATTAAGCGGCTTTGGTATGAACTTGGTGATAACTGGGAGCCTAAACATCGTTGCTGTTTGTCTTTTAGGAACTCAGTAAGCTGGTACTTGATAAAAATAGCTGTACAAATTACAGGCATATAGAACCCGAACACAGGAATCTGTAATTTGTATGGCAAATTGTCCATGTAGATCTGACCGTCCATACAAAATTGGGACTCAAATGTTCGAGCTCTACTAGGATATGGACGTGGATGATTAGACAACTCAGAGATTGTGGTGATTAGAACCATAGCTCATGCACTGGCCAGACACACTCAAAGCAGCACGGAGTTTAACCTATGCCCAACCAGTAGGCTCGCCGTAACTGTACTGCTTTGTGGATGTCTCGCCAGTGTATGGGCATTGGTTCTGATTTCCCTACCCCCTGTGTCCGGTTACCCACATCCATACCCGAGCAGACCAGGTGGGGGTCAACGAACACGGGCGCTCTACGAACAATACACCAAAAGTTTAGTGGCAAACGGTGATTTTACTTGGCCTGTTCGTTGAGCCCCCGTGTTTGTTGACCCCCCTTCTGGTCTATATGCCTGTAACTTTTATGATATTAAAGGGACCTACATTGTTCAGCCTTCGATTCTGGAATAGCATCAGTAAAAAAACACTGTTTGTTTTGCTGTCTGTTGCTCCTGCAGTGTGCAAGGACCTCGGGGTGGGGCCCCTTGCGGGTGGGAATACGGTAGGTTTAGGAGCCACCGGGGCGATTGTAGGAGTTGATGGCTTCTCTGATTCTAGAGCAGCGGAAATGGCTGTAGGATTTATTAAAAAAAAAGAAAAAGAAAGCTTGTTCGCAGCGTGTCTGCTGGTGGGGTGGAGCGGTCGGGTGGTGGGGTGGAGAAGGTTTCCTTCTTCTGATCTTCTGAGATGGTGCAGAGAATAATAGCCGGTTCCCCTCCTATTTCGCTGTCGCTCATATTCGGTGGAAGCAAGTGTGACGCGACTGTTTTCTTTGTCCATAGGGTGATAGTTGATGACTTAACTCTATTGTAGATGCAAGAGAAATACCAATTATGTATATAACATGATGGGAAAATAATATAGACTTTAATGGAAATAACATGATCGCTGTATTGTTTTACTACTATGCTGTATGATATATCATGTATAACTAGTGTTTCTCTTTCTTCTACCTTGGGTTTAAGTCACCAACTATCACCCTATGGACATTGGACAAGAGAAAAGTCCCCTCACACTTGCTTCCACGTCACACTTGCCCCCACCGACTATTTCCTCCCCGCTTAAACTCTTAAACTGGGGGGTTGACTACTAATCCTTAGTCTCTGATAGGGACTCAGAAGTTGCGTGTTAAGCCTCTGGCACCAATCTGGTGGACCATGGCCGGTTCCGAACTGCTCGCATCTGGGAATACCATCCTAATTGGCAATTAGGAATTTAAATTATCCCTGAGAATGATTCAGATAAGTTTAAGTTCGATATCCCGGACACTACAAAAAAGTGGCTGTTCAAAACGAGTACCGCTTCCCTCCCCTAATCTATCTATCACCCCCACTTACTCCCTAAATCAGCTAGAATCGTTGACAAGTTTTCGCTACAGTAACCAGTTTTCTGCACCTCTTACGTTGTACCTGGACTCAACTCCTCAGATGCCCCTCTCTTGTAAGGGAGAAACTAGGGCAACTTTGACACGCAAATCACCCGCTTGGGGCTCAGCTGGGAACAGCTTCCCATGAACCATCCTGTCTGTCCTGTCATGAACTTCAAACGCGATAGAACACCCTTCCACCGCATCTATGAGAGCAAAGTCAACTACTGGCCAAACCGCTTCGTAGCGGTCCCCGCCGCGTAGTACGAGCTGGAGACAGTCTCGTGCCAGGAGTATGCTACCAAGGTTGTGGGATTGAAACTCAGAATAAAAGGAGCCAAGTTCCCAGAACACTATTCCCAGGTACAATTCTTTTTTAATTCCCTTACAAAGCACGAGAAGACAGACACACATCGACGCTGCACTCGTATTGCAGCTGAACCATTGCGATGACCCAATCATGTACAAGAGGATGTCCGAGAGACCTGCTGCATTACCGGCCCTTCCACCGTCCCTCCATCTATCCCTCCATTCTATCGCTTCTCCAATTGCTAGCTGACAATCTCACTCAAAAAATAGGATATCGACCTCACCCCCACCCAAATATCGGAGCAACCTTACGAGATCTGACAATCTATCAGAGACGAGAAAGGCTTAGCAAAAATGACCGACAGGCTAGATCTGGGATGTGTACTATACGACGATAGACCGGATAAAGGCGCAGGGCGGGGATAAATTGAGACTTGGGATGGAAGACTTGAGGTGGATTAGTCATACGCAGCGGTCACTGGGGACGGATGAGCTCTGCCATGCCCTGGTGGTCGAGCTGGGCTCCAACAACTTCAATTCTAGCAACATCCCTTCGGTGTCGACGCTGGTGGGCAGCTGTCAGGAGCTTATTACAGTAAGAAGGAGGCGTCAACCGTGCGACTGGTCCACTTCACTCTCCAAGAGCACCTTTCCGTTCATCCCGATATTTTCAGCTGACACCATGTAGCAATGGAAGAGATCTGCTTGACCTATCCGAATTCCCGGCAAGTCAATGCCCCGTCGACCGATCCATCTCCTGACACTAGGGATACTCCCTTTCTAGAATATCGTTCTGTGTACTGGGGAGTCCATAAGAAGACGGGCCTCTCGAACTGCGGAAGATCGTTTGCGCTGAAGGTGTTCGCGGAGTTTGATGTTCACATATCCACCGAATTTCTTTCACGGCAAGTGGAGACTTTAGGTCTTGAGTGGCGTGATACCTAGCCTCCATTCAGTGGGCTGCACTGCGCATCACCCCTCGGAACCTTCGTGGTTCTGGCTATGTTGGGATATCAACGAAGGAGATTCTTGCGGCTATACCCCACTTGCGCGGGCTGCTCATAATGGACTTCAAGAAGTAGTGGAAATGCTGCTAGAGTTGGAAGAGATCGATCCCGACGAGCCGGATAATCGCAGCTAAACACCACTCTCACATGCTGCTACCTGTGGACATGGGGGGGTGGTGAAACTACTACGCGGGCGGGAAGAGGTCAACCCCGACAAGCCCGACAATGACGGCCGAATACCACTCTCGATGCCGCTTGGGAGGGAGATGAGGGAGTTGCGAAAATATTACTCGGGCAGGAAGACATCAACCCCGACGAGCCAGACAATCTAGGCCGAACGCCGCTCTCACATACCGCTGGTCATGGACATGAGGGAGTCGTGAACATTTTTCTTGTGCGCGAAGAGGTCAATCCCGATAGGTCAGATGGTTGAGGTCAAACACCACTCTCACTCACTGCTTGGGATGGACATGAGGGGGTGGCGCAAATACTACCCAGGCGGGAAGATGTCAGCCCCGGCAAACCAGACAATGACTGCCAGGCCCCTCTCTCGTTCGTAGCTAGGCATGGCCATCAGAAGGCGGTAGCACTGCTACAGTCTTACAAAGCTGTAACCCCTAGCGCGATTTAAGGCCTAGAAAACACCACCTCGTCGCGTCCACCGTTGTTCCTTCTCTTCCCGAGCACCTTTCTGACGGAAGTCGCCCTTGGACATCACCCCTTGCAGTCGAAGGAAATCTTAGATAAGCCCGGAACGCACTTATATATGTCACCACGCCGACGTGAACCTTCCCGGGGACTTGCTTCTACTAGTAAAGTCGGGCGTGGGTTTGTGAACTTCCGTTTTTCTCGAGCACGGTAGAGTTTGGAACCAGTTATATTGCTGTTGGCAAAGTCTAGTTGATACTTTGCGGTTTTCGTCCTATCATATTTGATATTTTCCCCGGCCGTATATCATTGCACGCATACTATCTTTCCCCCCTTGTATAATAGATAAACATATAGTATCGATTAGATAGAAGGAGAGTGGTGCACGATAGACCACGGCTTCTTAAGACCATTGTGAGAAAATATGTATGATAAAGACCTAATGACATGGCTCCATGAATAGTATGCATCATACTTAGCAGACACCAATTAGCAATAGCAGACCTCGCGAGATCGGTGGGAAATGAGCAGCTCGCCCGTCTCACTAAAAAGGCTACTCAGCAATGATAATACGCAAGTATCAGAGGAGTCTTTCAATTTCCATACTAGCGACGCCCCGCAGCAGTTGAGAAAAGAGGGCCCGAGCGCGGTGACAGTTTTCCATCTGCTAGTGAATCGGAGGAAATGTAGAATAAAGAGGGTTTTTTTTGGGGGGGGGACAATAGGACAGTAGCTATGCCAGGGCCAATGCCGTGTTACGATGTGATAGACCGCGGTGCGAAATCAACGAAGCAAAAGGTATCCGTTGTATGATGTCATAAATAACTGTACTGTACAGTACAGCGGTAGGTATGGAAACTCCGTCAAATAATATTGTGATGGAATCCTTCAATGGAGAAAGCGACGTTGACATCCCTCACTCCCTAGGGAAAGAATTGCACGCAGATACTATCTCCAGTCAGCCCCACCGTCGATAGCACTTGCCCGCGCACGAGTATACCATAAACATACCGGTATACACGCCCCCCAGTTCTCACAACTGCTGGATGGGTGGTGGAAGAGATTGGTAGATTCGGGAATGGTGAGCTGGTGGGTGGTGGTACCCTTTCATCAACGATCACTCAACCCTTCGAACGATGCCCCACCGACCCATGAGCCGCCATCAATGACTGCTGTTGATAACACTTTTCTGGAGCTAGATAAATAATTTAACAAAATCGGGTAGCCTCATACATACAACTCCACCTATGAGCCGCCTACACTCCGGATATGAAAACACAGCCACATTGCAAGTGCAAAACAGCGATTGCACCCCCCTTCGTCGCCTCCTACTCCATTTTCGGCATTTTTATCTCCCGCTGTTTTTTTCCCTTCCTCTCTTTATGCACCCGGACCATCTCTTCATACATCTCCCTGGCTTCCTTCTTCGCCATTGCCTTCTCCTGCAGCCTCCTTTCCTTCTCCTCCTTGTATTGGCTAAGCATTTTGGCATGCCTCTCCCTAACCTCCGGCTTCCTCTGGGGCTCCGCGGCCTTCTTCACCTCCTTCCCCTCCCCGAGCCAGCTAACCCTTTCGGCATGCCTATCCCTAGCCTCCAGCTTCCTCTGAAGTCTTGTGACATTCCTCGCCTCCTCTGCCTCCTTCTTCCGAGCCTTCAGGAAGGCGGTCGTCTTATCCTTGACGA